TGGGCTTTTAATAGTTTAACACATCAGATACTTAATTCGTGCTTTTTTTTACGATATATCACAAAATTATTTAAAAAAAAAGGTTATAAGTCGTACTGCTGGAATCCTAGATTTGTAGATATAATTCGGTAAAGAAAGAGAACGCTCATGCTTGAAAAAAAGAAACAACTATATGACGTTGTAGAAGCATTGGATTTGATTAGACCGTTAAAAATGACTCGTCCTACTCTGACCTCTTAACAAATCAAATGCGAGACAAAGAATTTTTACTTCTGTTTGGCTGGAGAAGAAATTCGTTTGTTAGAAACAATATTTATTATTCTTTCTTCAATTTCTTTAAATACAAACAGAAGGACTTTGGTTTATTACGGTTTTTAGATGACATTTTTATTAATTCTTATTAATTGTTAATTGATTATTGTTGTTAATAAGAAAGCAAAAATGAGAATGTTCGACGTCGTTTCAAGAGTTGGCGGTGGGAGCTTGTCATCCATTTGGCGTGTACTGAGATACAAACAGACACTCTCCGTAAGGTTAATGTTTTTTATTAACTTGCAACAGAGTAAAGTAAATATCAAGTTTGTATTTGTAAATAATATAAATCCTTCTCTATCTATATCAACGGGTTCCAAATGGCGTACAGCGGAACCCTAGAGCTCCGTAAAAGAGTGACGGAGGTTCCAACAGTTAGGAAACTTTTTAATAATTTATGATTTTCGAAATCTGCAATTAATTTTATTTCATATTTCCGTTATTTTAGTAAAATTACTTAATTGAAATATTTGAAGAAAGAGATTGCATCGAGTGAAAATAACTCAAATCACCAACGAAGGAGAATGTTTCTCTCATAATATCAACGTTTCTCTTTCTTTCTTGTCATTATTTTAATGGAAACCCTATTTCCTATCATTCATTTTAAGTATAATTTAGCAGTTAATATGAACTAGCATTTTAGTATGAACTAGTATAAGATTTAGTATGAACTGAGATTAAATTATGAATGAGACTAGCTCACTTTTCAGATTTATAATTCAGATTTGTAGAAAGTTGAAAAAACTTTAGGATGAAAAAATTTCATTCTTCATTCATTCACTAAATATTTCTAAAATTATTAAAAAATTTAGATAATTACATATTTCTAAAATAATAAATAGCCCTTCTTTAATTAATACGTTCACTATTGCTAATGAAATTTATTCAGTGAATCTCAAGGTTCCACTAAAAGAAGTTCGACCATTTACAGTTCCAGAGTCGATAAAAATAAGAAACCGCTGATCTAGATAATAAAATAAAGCCCTCTCTCTATCTAGAATAATTTTAGTTCTAAAATTATTTATTTCTTTTCGGTAGAAATATATATTGAGGATTTCATTCCTTTTGAATTCTATACATTATTTTTAACTGCTTTATCACATAGGTAGAAAATAGACATATAACACGGAATGTTGTTAAATATAAATATTTCAAAAGGAATTTGTAGTGAGGAAATCTTTTTGGAGGTCATTGCAATATTTTTGGTATTTCCAGTACAGTATAACCAGTCCAGGCCGGGCCTGAAAGCGAGACGGAAAAGAGAAAATTTCAGGATTGTAGGAGAACTATTTCAATACTAGACAACATTTGGGAAGAGTTAATCTATTCTGAACGATAAACAATTTACTGTAATTAATTTTTCTCAGCGAAGAAGAAATTCAATATAAGCATTTTATCCGTTAATAACAATTGGTAGTTATAGATTTTTATTATTCCCGAAAAAAAGCTAAAAAATGAAATTTATTTGTTACCAGTTTTTGCTTCCTTCCGTCTTGATATATATAGGCTTTCACCCCTGGTCCAGGCAGCACTATTTCAACGAATGTTAAGAAAAAACATCCACTAGAAATTTAAATTATTTGCTTTTAAACGTTCGGCAACTACTCTAAACATTAACATTAACTCAAGATATTACCACTGTATTTTACCCCCATTTATCAGACTATGAAATTACCTTCAGCTCTTTAATCTAACTTTTAACTCAGATATGACTGTAATACTACAGAGGCTTCTAATTTTTTTTTCTTTGCCAAACCAAAAGCCATTAAGTCTCAACCATTATACATATGAACAGATGAAGGAGTGAAATACTCTACTTCGCGGGCTGGTACTCTACAACACCTATCAAGTCAAGTCAAGTCTAAACAATAGACTTTTCTGGACCGGCGAGTCATTAATACTCTACAACAACACCTATCAAGTCAAGTCTTAAACATTAGCCTTTTCTGGACCGGCGAGTCATTAATATGTTCGTATGGAATCCGAAACGCGGAAAAAATTAAAAAGCGGTAGTTTAATAAATAAATACATTACTACTATATTTTTTTAAGAAACAAGTTCATGAGAAGAATCACCTTGAATTGGAAAGTTCTTTTTCTTCTTCCGTAGATTTTAATTAAATATTTTTGCAAAAAAATTTCAATATTAAAAATGTATGCACTTAAAAAAATTATGATACCACATTTTTAGTTTAAAATTAAATTTAAAATATAAGTAATTTTCCTTAAAGCATTGCTCTGCGTGACGATGTTCATATTTCAAAGAAGCTTGCTAAATAGTAGGCTACACCTAAATATGAAACCATACCTGCCAACTTTTAATCTCTTCCATTATCATTTTTCCCAGTGGTATTAAAATGGAATTAAAACTTCAATTTTTAGCAAACAAATACGTTGCATTTGAAAAAAATCTTATGTTGACAACCATGGTAGTAACACATATTAATATATGTGCTTCATTTTTTTAAGAATAGTGGTGATCAAAATCATTTAGAAATTAAGTTTATAAAAAAAAACAGTATATATTTACTACCACTTTAAATATGAAAATGAAATCTTCCGGAAAATCCGGAAGAGTTGGCAGGTATGTGAAAGGTAATTTCAAAGTGTTAAGTATCTAAATTTTAATTTGGCTAATGCCTGAAAAGTTTTAGATTCAAAAATTATTCTCAACTTTACCGGGATGCCCGAGTCATAATTATATTCGTATGGAATCAGAAACATGATGAAAAAAAAAGCTATAACTTAAAATTTGTACATGGCTAATTTGACAACCTTATTTTTGCTTTCACTTTAAATCTAATACATCCAATCTATATGTTTGTTAAAAGTGTAGCTGTATAATTTTTGATTTGAACTAAGTCTAGGTAAATTAAATAAAGAGAACTATTATTGCCCCGACCACAAATAAACTGCTGACAAAAAACGATTTTTTCTACCAATTTTATCTTTTTTACCGTGACTATATCATCACCCTGAGAATACATATATGATTAACCCGTCTCGAAGAGGTTAAAAGGATTAAACCTCCACACGGTTTTTATAGGTCGTCCGATCAAACCATTTTGAAAGATTTCCAGTTTCTGAACGAGTCACTTAATACAAAATCTAGCTAAAATAAAAAAAAAGTGGTAGCAAATACATGACTTAAAATTTGCTTTATTTATGAATATTTGGTTTGCCTTATTCACCTGTCAACCACTAGAGATTCAATTCTCAAATATATATGAAGAATTTCTCTCAATTACTTTTAAAGAAGGTTTTGGATTCATGCGCACAACTGGTTCACTTTTTAAATAGTCTGCGCGGACTATTTATAAGTGACCGTGTGGAGGCTTTCTGCTGTAGGAATTGATGATTAAGCACGTCGTTTCACTTTAAATGTACTGTCTTATGTCCAGGGATGCCACATGCAACTAAAAATGTAAATAGTGGTAAACACTAAATTCAGCTCTGCAAATTTATTAATTCTATTATTATTAAATCGTAATTGTCCTGTCTTTCTCTTCCTTTACTTCCCTTATTTCTTATTAACGATTAACTACTTCTGTTTAATTAAACCTATACCTGAGTCAGCAACTGTTACAGAATTGCTAGAGTGGCCCCTTTGGCTGGGTACTCGTATGCATTAATTCTTAGTTTCCGCAGTTTAAGATGCCATTTTCCATAGTAAACTGAAAAAAATACGCTAGAAAAAGCAGCTAATTTTAAATACTTTTAATGAAATGTTGAATTTTGTCAGCAAATTGGTATTTTTAGACACTCTTGGAAAACCTGAAAGTCGCATTTGCCGATGCATTGCTTGCTTTAAATTTTAAATAGAATGTTGTTTTACCGGAAAGAGTTAACCACTAGTGTTTATCCATTTTGGATTACTATTGCATTTTTGCAACATTTTTACATGATGTAAGAAGTACTTTTATAGTAATTACTTATAGAATAACTACATTAGTTCTATGATAAAGCATGCGGAAAAAGTAATTACTCACATTCTAAAAAATAAGTGATAAAAGTAGTTACTTATATAATAAAATATAAGTAATAAAAGCAATTATTTATCTAATAAAACTCTTGTGCATAGATGAATGTGATGTTCTCCAGTGCGGAGTATCACGCGAATTTTGAAATATAAAAATGGGGTCGTCTGTTTACCGAAGCGGTGGTGCAGTACCAACGCCTCCTAAAACTGGAAGCCTCCACTGTTTTCTGTAGGTAGTCCGATTAAAGCACTATGAATGTAAGTCAGATTCTCAAAAGAGATATGCATTACAAAATTTAATAAAATTAAAAAAGTGGTAGTAAATATATCTATAAAAATGTGTTTAATTTATGAATATGATTGGTTTGTCTTATTCACCTGTCAAACCCCCAAATTCAATTCTCGAATATATATATGATAAATTTCTCCTAATTACTTTTAAAAAAGGAATTTTGGTTAATGCGCACAACTGGTTCAAATTTTAAATAATCTGCGCAGACTTCTTATAAGAGACCGTGTGGAGACTTTACGCTGCGGGAGGTGATGGCCACACCTTCTGCAGAGAATCAAAATTATGATAACGGGTCTTCGGATCATCCTCAGGTACGTTTCCCAGACAGTAGACCATTGGCGACGTAAATGTACTAAAACTAAACAGAGGACTTTGCTCTTTTCAAATTTTTAGACATTTTTAAAAAAAACTATTTTACCACATATGTAGAATATAGACGGCCATCCACCGAGAAATGAGCTTTCACTCAGAATACCAGTAAACACATTTGTGATGAGTGTTCCTATCAGTCCACCTGTATACATCGCAGTTGAGATACGACTTCTTTCCATTTTTGGTGCCCATCGACTCACCAAAACATTCATTGAAGGATAAGCTATCCCCTGAAATTAATTAAAAGATATTATATTGCTATAAATATTAATTAAATAAGACCATCACAATAAAATAGATATTTACGGGCAAGAAGCAATGTTAAAGGGAGAGAGTACAGTTTAACACTCTTCAAAAAAAATTTATGAAACCTATTGGTACAGAAATGTATTTCTTCATAGAAATTGCTTTAAGTAAGATGTAACAAGTTTTTTTTAATAAAGTTCAAACAAGAAAAGAAAATGTAACTTATTTGCATCATCAACACTGAGTGTTTATATTTGATTATGTTTACACTAAACACAACACTCATAACTTCGACTAACAGCAGTAATAGAAATTAAATAGCTGTGGTTGGCTATATGCCGATGCCGAACACTGTAGAAAGTGTTGCAGAAGGAGTAACATACTGTAGATGCAGTTTTCGCTTTTCAACTTAAAGCAATTCTAATAGGGTAAATACACCGAAGATTTATTGCTATTATTAGTGAATCTATCCTTTTTCTCGTTTTCTTGATGACACAGGAAAACTACTCAATAATTACCAAGGGGTAAGTAACAAAAATATATTTAAATCTTTAACATGATGAATACGGTACAATGGTGTAGACGTGACTACTACTACATTACAATGTGGCGGTTCTTGCTTTTTACAAAATCTTAGTTTGCAGTTACGGTTACAATCTAATGATAAACTCCGCCATCTATCGGTGGTTCAATAACATGTATTTCTACAAACTCCCCATCATGGACGGGGACGTCCATAATATCTAGTAAGATTAAAGGAAAAATGACAAATAGAAAAAAAAACATTAAAGTTCAACATGAATCAAATTTTTAAGCATTATTTAAAATTTCAAAAGGATATAACAGTTGAACNCAAACTACACTGCTGGACAATTGCTAAGGACGGATCACAAATTGCAATGTAGCATAACATTAAGCGAGACATGAGGCCTAGTAGGATAAAATATAGTTGCCACACTGTACAGACATTAGAATAAAGAATATTCATTGTTCTGGAAAGTACAAAAGCTATGAAACATCTGAAAGAAAAAAATGTGGAATTTGATGCTGCGTACGGAAATTTGATGCTGCGTTCGGAAAAATGGAACAATGCATCTAAATGTCAACAGGCAACTTGAAGAAAGGTGTCAGTACGGGATGTGCCCACCGTGGAGTGTGATGCAACATTCTACACGTCGTATCATGTTTTGCACAACATTATCCAGCAGCTGTTGAGTAAATTTATCCCATTCCTCTGTCAGTGCACGGATGAGGGCGTTCTTCCCAGCAAACACATTAGGTCGGTAACTTTGCGGCCCGTTGTCGGTGATATTGGCAACTGTCGGTCATCGGACCGTCTTATATCGGCATTTTATTGGCATGTTATTGGTTGTATCAGATTCGGTTCAATGAAAGACTTCTTGTAAAGTGCCGATAACATATTTCCGATAACAATATTTCAACGGAATTAATAAAATTGGGCCGATATCAAATAACGATATCTTATTTGCATACATGCTAACGGAATCTGTGATTTTACTGTTGACCGATATTTAAAAACTGGATATATGATGGAATACATGAAATCAAAGCAAAAATTTAAAAAATTTTAGTATTAAAAATAAATATTATTAAATTAAATTATATTTATGCTAAATTGGCTCATAATTTTTTTTTTTTTTTATAAAACAAAGTTTTTCCTTAAAACTCAGGCAAATTAAGCTAATTTTCTAGCACAAAAGTTAACTATTTTTATGCCTAATAATTTATTATTTTATGTATTTTCATCGCAGATTGTTTTTATGAGATGGTTAGTTTATTTCATTGAATTTAGTAGAAATTTAGTAGAAAAATTAGTTTAATTTAGTAAAAAAATTAAATTAAAGCTGCCAGTTATTACTACAGAACAAGTTTATAATCTTCAATTGTGCCCAAAAAGGTTCTGTGAGTTTTTCTTTCTCATAAACAAAAAATAACGAATTTAATTATAGAAAATCCTGGGTATTTATCCGTATCGAATTTTCAATTATTAATAACAAAAGGAAAGCATGGCGGTTTAAATTTTACTTTGGGATGAAGCTTTATATACGAGTAATAGTAGAAAAATTTTAAGAATATTAACCATTAAAATTAATTACCTATGCAAGTCGGACAAGTTAAGAAAACAATATGCTTGAAAATTCAAGAGCGCTTTATACTGGTGTTAAATTTCAGCGTACTTGTCGTACCGTGGCTCAGTGGTAAAGAACCTGAATAACGACAAGTCGTCCTGGGTTCGAATCGAGCAGCTAATTGTTAGGTATTCTAGATATTTTCGAATTATTAATTATTTTATTCATAAACAGTATTATTTTACGTTTAATTCTAATTTATTAACATTATTTAAATGAAAAATAATAGTTGTCAATAATTTAGAGCAATTTTCTTAACTCTTTTTAATTAAGATTCTGCTTTAAAAAACTGCTAATTTAAAAATAAATTAATTCATTTTATTTATTATATTTTTTTCAGTTATTACATACTACCTGATATTTAAATTGCAGTAATAATTTAATCTTTCACTAAAATGGCATTAGTTTAATTTTCAATTTTTATAAACAGTGGTTATAAAAATTTAAAATTTAGATTTTCAAGTGATTTCCTTAAAATGCATTGGTTTCGAACAAGCTTGTGAATTCTATTTTTATAAATAGTCGGAAAAAAATCTAATAAAGCGTTTACAGTTAATAGGACAAAATATCTCTAATAGAACAAAATCAAGAAATAAATTTTGGTGAAGATTTAATTAAACATAAAATCTACAGTTCATCGAAAATTTGAATAAGATGCGATTTATATTTGATCGCATCTAAATTTTCAAAAGATGAAAAAATCATTTTGAATGTTTATGAAATAAGTTTTTCAGCAAACCAACTTCAAAAAAGGCTGTTGTTGTTAATATTTATGTGGTGTTAATTTTGAAAGGTAATTACTAATTTTTTGTTTCCCAATTATACATTATACTTATTATTTCTATTAAATTAATAAAATAAATCCTTTTCTTTTTGTTACTATTTAAAGCTCTGGTTAAATATATTATTTTAACAATTATTAACTTATTGAAGATTGAATTATTTATTTCATTATGCAATTTCAATAACGAAAAATTATCAAATATTTTAAAAAATGCAATAAAATAAGTAAAATTATTTTAATTTATACTCCATTTCTAATTTAAAAAAAAAAAGTAATGAAAAGTCTCTTTAGCCTGCTTAGAACTCCAAGAGCATCGTTGCTGCACAGGTTTCCAACCACCAGTTCTTTTTATCGTTAATAATTTCGAGATTTAACTTATCTGTAAAATATGCTTAAATTATCGAACCCGTTTTTTTTTAATTACCTGACTATTGTGTTTTATTATTAAGTTTCATTCCAAAGTAAATTTTTCAAGTCATGCCCTTTCCTTTTAGGGAAAAGAAATAATGAAATAAATAAATAATAATAAGCACTTTTTTAGTTAACAACAGGTGGATGGATGGTGCTTGCAGGTGGTGGGCGGAACTATATATTTTGTTTCTTTCTTTTCTTCTTTTTTAACATGAGTATGATAGTTAGAAAGGAAGAAAAAAGTAAATAAAATGTGGAGACAAAGCAGTAACGAATTGTGCGTTGAAATGAGAGAAACAAGATTTTGAACTTTAACGACATGAAAGCCGTTAATTTGGGCTATAACTAGGTAAACTAAACAACGCACTTCAACAGATTATCCTAGTTGATCTGCAGAGTATCCAGGCAATGTTCATATTAGCGTATTTGTGCTTTAGCAGCAATGCCTGTCCTAGTAACAATTTCATGTTAAGTGCAGAAAATAATTGCTTCACACATCCAATTATATCAAGAACTGCCCAAATTCTTCAGCCTATCTCGCATATTTTTTTATTAAATTTTAATTTTGAAGATGAATTTTGAAAGTTGAGAATAGTGCATTATCTTCTTTTAATTATAAACTGCATTGTTTTTCAATACAAACAAATTATACTCACCCCGGAAAATCCAACAACGGCACGCGCAAATATCAAAGCCCACACATCCAGCCTTGCAGCTGTGGGTGTGAGTAGAGTGGCAATGGCACAAAATAGGACTCCTAATCCATAGACCCATTTGGCACCGTATTTTTCAGCTATCATTCCTCCGGGTATTTGGCTTAAAAGATATCCATAGAAATAGGCGCCAACAACTTGCCCTTGCATATTAGAGTTCCATTCGAATTCACCATCGGGCTGAAACAGAGAAACAATTGCCTTGTTTATTTTTATTAGAGTCAAATTTAAACAAACTACATGTAGTTAAAAAGAAAAGAAGTTTGTCAGATGCAAAGTAATACATAATGCGATTTTTACGTTTATTCTTTGAGTACTTAGTACAATATTCTGTTGCATGAGAATTTTGAACTGTTCTTAGATATTTTCGAATGGCTGATTTCAAATCTGCAATTGATTTCACTCTACAAGCTACAGTTTCAATGCATTTTAATAATATAGTCCAAACCAGGATTTTTTTAAATTTCCTCGAGGGTCTACTAAGTGAATGAAAACTAAGTGAATAAAACAAATACGACCTAAACGATTCGCATCCGAAACAGAGATGTATTGTAGCCTTCTTCTTAACCGGTTAACGCCCAGCGTCATATATTTAGGATACTTCCTTTTTTCAAAAACATTCATTGTGGTGGGAAACTTTTTTTCTGCATTTTCATTTATCTGGGCGAATTAAAAGATTCTCAGATACCACAATGATTTAGTTATTTCTGACTAGATCTAGAATTATAAGCAGCAAGTACTTTTTGATCATACCTCATATCGAAGACTGGTGCACAAAATGGAAGGTAGCTATCAACACCACTAAATCTTCACTACTAATTATTAGGAAATCAAGTAAAAAGAAAGTCATTTATCCAAATATTACTCTTTTCAATGATGCAATACCACTAGTTCGAAAGGCCACCTACCTAGGCGTCACTCTTACTAGTTCTTTAAACTGGAATACCCATATTGAAAATATTCTTAGCAAAGCGCAAGGAGCCTATAGATCTCTGAAACCAATATTAAACTATAATTCAAAACTATCACTCAAAACAAAACGAACCCTATACCTCCAATGTATTCGACCGATCATCAGCTACGCAGCCCCTGCATGGAGCACAACCACTGTTAGTCAAAAAAAGAAACTGGAGATTACTCAAAATAAATTCCTCAGATATATCACAGGAGCCCCCAGATCCATGAGAATGAAAGATCTAAGACGAGAGTTAAAAATCAACAAAATAGATGAGCACATAGCTGAACTATGTGCAAGTTTCTTCAGAGATGCACTCTCTTGTCATACGTGCAATTACTTTAAAAATTTTGATTTTGAGCTCATCAAAGACAACATAAAATATAGCCCGGCAACCGCCTTTTTCCTATCCGACGGAGTTTTGTCCCGTAAATTTTGTAAATAGCTGTAAATACTTGTAAATAATTTTGCGCATTTATTATGTATTTCTCCTTTTCTCTGAGGCTATGTGGCTACTGTGCACCTGAGAAGCTCGGGGGTAATACCTCGAAGGGAGGCGAGGCAGTCTGCCACAAAACCTCTTCTCTCTCTCAAACTTGTTTGTTCAATCTCACTACTTCATTTTAATTTTCTCTCAGTAAAAGATACTGAACCCCAACTTTCACCTTTCAGTTGCGCTTCGGCGATTTATTATTTATTTCCACTCAGATGAATTAGTTAGAGCCCCTAGCGGGGCTGATGCTAAGATAACCAACACATATGAGTATGGGTAAGTACTTTTTGATCTATCAAAGACTTTTTGAATGCCCTAACAGTAGAAAAACCAATTAATTTCGAAAATATATTATACCACTTTTTCCATAAAACCACTTCTTGTAACATTTCAATATATAAATACGGGACAAAACGGGTTAATTCTCTGCTATATAAGAGAGATAGGAAGGAGGCGATTATACATTTCTGTATTTCTGTTTATGATGATGCGATTGGTTAAAGTCGTATTTGTTTTGTGTTTTTTTTTTCAAAAGAGCTGAGAAATATATATGTATATGTTACAGTGAACGACCGAAATATCAACCATTATACTGTCACTTTGGTGAATGTCCGAAATATTTGTTATATCTGATTTAATATTAACTTATTAGTCGAAAATATTATATTTATACGATACTTTGATATCTATATTTGAAAATCATATTTCTATCATTGTTTAAAGCATAATGATAGAAATAATTTGAATATAGTAGGATAAATTATTACAACATTCATTAAATTACTTACTTGTTGCAAAATTATATTAGATTTGCACTTACTAAAAATTCATCTTCTTGTGTTGTTGTGTTTCTACTAAGTATAAGCTCTGGGCACGTGATTTTTGTTTCATTAGTTCTATTGTCTGAACGAGGTATTCTAACCATGGCGACCATAGCTACACTTAGATTAACTCGCATGGCATAAATATTAATGTAGCCAAAGAAACCAAGTAGCGTCAATACAAGACGAGCTGGAATCACTGAAAGCAACAAAAAACGACTATTAATATATATCCATCAATAAAAATATGGCTATTAACTTAAAATCACGAGTAAAACTCTTATAGTTGTTGTTGTTGTTAATTTACGGCGCACTATAGCTGCACAATGGGCTATTGGCGACGGTCTGAGAAACATCTCGGAGGATGATCCGAAGACATACCATCACAATTTTTATCCTCTGCGGAGGGGATGGCACCCCCGCTTCGGTAGCCCGACGACCTGCGCGCGAAGTCGAGCACTTTACGGTAGCACAGTTTAACGAGGACCACTACCGCACACCCTCGGTCCCTACGCAGACTGATCCAAGTGATCACCCACCCGCACACTGACCGAAGCCAGTGATGATTGACTTCGGTGATCTGCTGGGAACCGTGTCTTAACGATCAGTTCACTGCGGGACAAAACTCCTATAGAAAACCTTAATCAAACCGAAAATTCAGGGAATGCGCAGGAAGCATGCAGGCGGCGATATCCCACACATTTTCATTAGAATGTGCAGAAATGATGTGCGCATGCTAATATGGGAGGTATGTAAACATAGGTTGTAAACGTATAAGAATTGTCCCTCATCCGCTCACTTCCTCAGAGTGCAGACCGCCTTATTATTCGGAAATTTAAAAACCTTTTGAACTCTGGACACATTAGAATGCTGTTTAAGCTAGTGTAAGTCCTAAATCATTTAAAATACACTTCACAAAACAATTAAAGGATATTGAGGTTGTTGGTTGATCTTGCACCTGGAGAATAGTAAGAACGATTGGCGCATTATCGACAGACGTAGCAGGCTATATGAGATGCTAATGACATTTGTATCTCAGAAAAAAATGAGTTTTATTGAGCATTTGGGCACAAAAGGAAAAATAAAACACAATTTGTGCATGTAAGAAAAACAAATAAAAAATGTGTTTCCTTAAAAGAAAATCGCTTTTAGTAGGGGGTATGGTTTCCCCGGACGGCCAGCAACGTCGAACACTTTTGAGGCATCGAGTCAATCAGGTTATTAATGAGGGGCTGGGATATTTCCTCCGATTTCTGCAGAAGAGCTCGTTCCAGTACTTGGAGAGTTTGTGGGGGTGGAAGGTGTCCAGTAATTAGTCTGCCTAGAATGTCCCAAAAATGCTCGATCGGTTTCATGTCCGGAGAGCACGCTGGCCAATCAACTCGTGTGATTCCTTCTTCCAGAAAGGAATTATTCAATAAGTCAGAACGATGTTGTCTGAAATTGTCGTCCATTAGTACGAGGTCAGTTCATATTGCTGCAGCGGAAGGGATTACAATATGTCTCAGGATTTCGTCGCTATTTCGGTGACTGGTCAGAGCTCCATTTCGAATGATATGGATATCGGTTCGCCCATTAATGGAGATGCCAGCATAGACTATCATTTCCATACCACCATATCTTACAATCTCATGCTCGAACGCCGGATTGCTTCTAGTGTGACGCGCCTATTAACAAGATGAACAGAAAATCGGTACTCGTCAGAAAAAAGAATATTGAGCCATTCATTTCTCCTCTAGTTCACATGCTCTGCTTCACTCCCTGCGGACGTGCCGGTGCCATGCTGTTAACGTGACACACACCATTGTTTGGCAATCATGCGGACCAACTGAGTGGTGTTAGTTTCGGACAGTTTGTGTCCAAACTGTGGTGCCAATAGCAGAGCGAATGTGTTGTTGAAGATGATTAGCATTCATATTTCGATATCTTCCAGCTGTTAGCGTTTCATAATGGTCTTCATTGGGCGTTGTTGAACGTCTACGACCGTGCTCTGATCTTCTGTATGCATTTCCATTTTCCAAAAAACGATGCTAGTTTCTGAAAATCACACTTTGTGAAATTTTAATAGCTTATGCGACTTCGGCTTATGTTTGGCCCCCCTTTACCAAACAAAAACTCTCAAAGCTGCTTATTCGGTTAAATGACTTCTTTGAGGCATTGCACTCATCGAAACACAGCGCTTACGAAATGATGATCGTTCTTTTTCCGCTTCGTTTTACATTAAGTTGAAAGCCAAATCAAATTCGATGTCCTTTCTTCGTGGGGCACAAATAAAAAATAAAGCTTTCATAATTTCGGGTAATTTTCTTAAAAGCCTTTCCAGGAGAAAAGTGATCTTTTTCCTGCTGTCTACAACCATATCTCTTTTTGAATCATACACATGTAATTGTGCGGCAAATAGCGTTAAATCAAACTTGCGGAATCATGCCTTAAATAAAACAAAGCTACAACTATAAGAATTTTCTTTCTAAAAGAGTAGAAATTGTCAGACCTGTATGAACAACAAAGAGCAATATGACTTTAACACGTTGAAAGCCATGAAGGTCACCGGTTCCCGGCAAGATCGAATTTATTAGAAACACATAATTCGAGTAAATTTTTTTAAAAATATTTTTATCGTTACTAAAATGATTTGAAGAAAGTAATGCTAATGCAATATAGAACACACAAAACTAGTTTTATTTATATACACAGAGATGCCAACCTGCTCCGGTCACTGAAATAAATATTTTTGAGTGGTAGTTTATTAATTATGATTCCTGGTTTAATAAATTCAATTTAGTAGATTTTTAGCCTTTACTATTTCTAAACAATTAGTAGGGTTTTACAATTCACCACTGTTTTCGAATATGTCATTTCGAATATGTCAAAACTAGCAAAATCTATCTAATATAAGCAAATTTAGTGTGTAGTGATTTACCGTTTGGCCAGACGGGCAAGCCATGTAAAACTAGCGTGGCACTCAACGTGTTAATGTATCATCGGTAATCGATATAGAATTTCACAAATACCATGGGCCACTTCATAAATTATGCAAGTAACAATAACTTACTTTTTGGAATTTGGAGTAGTCTTCAGAATTCGGGGAAAACTCTTCACACAGAAAAGTGCTTTTCCTATTGGTATAAATTAATGACCATTATTTAATAAAAGGAAGTTGAAAAAATATTCCGTTCTTTTTTTTGCTACTCATAATAATCTAAACAGAAGTCAAATGAAGTCTTTTAATAAGAATGTTTTAAAAATAATATATTGAATTGATAATGAAAATGATACGCATTTATAGAAAATTCCTTCAGAATTTCACAACAGAGATGTCTAAAGAATGACGCATCACTGAATAATTATGTTCGACGTTTGTAGCAGATCTTTTTAAAAAATCAAAATGCAGCTTATTTTAATTCTTTTCAGCTTATGCATGTACATATTTTCCAACTACTAAGTTTTTTGAAAATTATTTTATTGAGTGATAGACATTTAACAAAAACTCTCAGAATTTTTTTTTTTTTTTACATTTTAAAAGCAAAACCACGAGCGATCTGGAACAAAGTGACGTTGTATCTGAATTTTCAAATTATTTATGTGTAGTGATGCAAAAACTAAGTGTAAATGAATAAAAAAAGATAATACATTAAACAATAATATTACCAATATGTACTACAGAATTTGGGTAGTTCCATAAAATATTTTTTCCGATAGTGTAGGTAAAAAATTTTATGTAAATATCTTAATAAATTAGAATTGAATTAATTATGACTACCACTATATATAAATAATATAAAATTATAAATAAAATCAAACATTAATTTTTAACTAAGACCACTTTGAATTTAATTCAATTCATATCTTATTCGACTCAGAAATATTTAACCCGTTTTGTCCCGACTTTATATATTGAAATGATACAAGAAGTGGTTTTATGGCAAAGGTGGTATAACATACATACCTGCCAACTTTTAATCCCTTCCATTCTGATATTTTCCAGTGGTATTAAAATGGAATTAAAATTTACTTTTTAAGCCATAAAATACGTTGTATTTGAAAAAGCTTAAGCTGATAACCATGATAGCAACACCATACCCTCCAACTTATGAGGATTTTGAAAATAATTCTTTCTAGTGGTAGCGAACCAAAGTAGAAATTTTTAAAGCAAATGGATTTCTCATAAAACTTTTATCAGAACTTAAGAATCTAGCCATATGGCCTGCACTTTTATAAGTAATAGTGAACAAGTTACGCTAAAAGTAATTTTTTTTAAATATTAAGACATTAATTTTGCTACCGTTTGAAAAGAAGATTTCTGAAACTACGGAAATTCCGTAGCAGTTGGAGGGTATGCAACACATATCAATATATATTTGCTAAATTGTTTTAAGTATAGTGGTGATCAAAATCATTAAAAAATTAAGTTTTTAAAAGAAGAAAAAGTATATATTTACTACCACTTTAAATATAAAAATAAAATTTTACGCCAAATGCGCAAAAGTTGGCAGGTATGAATATATTATCGAAATTAATTGGTTTTTCTACTGTTAGGGCATTCAAAAAGTCTTTGATAGATCAAAAAGTACTTGCTCCTTTTAATTCTGCATCTAGTCAGAAATAACTAAATCATTGTGGTATCTGAGAATCTTTTAATTTACCCAGATAAATGAAAATACTGAAAAAGTTTCCAGTCACAATGAATGTCTTTAAAAAAAGGAACTGCCCTAACTAATTTTAAGTTTATTATTGATGGTACAATAAAAATATTTACTTCTTCACGTGAAATATTTTCAAAGTAATTAGTGATCCATTTTATTGTTACTATATTCACGGTTGTTATCGAAATTTTTTTTTAAATCGGGGTTCTATCAAACCTTATTATTTAGGGTTGCATACCCGAAAGAAATTACGAACCGTTACTCTAAATTGAATAAGAATTTTTTTTTTAAATTATTTTTTTGCTGCATGAGATTTTTGATCGGTTCTTGGACATTTTTGTGCAACTGATATAAAATCTGCGAATGATTTCTTTCAACAAACTGTAATTCTTAATGTCACCAGGGCTTTTTTCTAAAATTTACTACTAAGAACGTCCCCACTTCTCTGCTACTTAGGGAGTGCAAGGGGGAAGATGACAAAACCGTTTGTTTATGATACGATGCGTTAAGTTTCTATTCTTTTCTAGTTAAGTGTTGTTTTCCAAGTACCATACAAGTGTATATGTATACAAATCTATACGTTCTTTATAATTTATACATTTTGAGCAAAATAAAATAAAATGTAATAGAAATACCATTTTGAACTTTCCGAACAAAATTCATCTCCGATTTGAAATTACCTCACCCGAATCAGGTAAGATCAAGTACTTGCATGACTGCAAAAGGAATCGGATCCCGATGTTATTCTTCACTTTTTAAAAGTTCGTAATAAGGGCTTTAACTAATTATTTCCATACAAGTTTTTTTTAAAACTGTTATTGAACAGCCGACACAGTTTTCGGGTTTCTGGGTTGGTCTACTCCGTAGCCTTGTAATTTTGAACCCAATGCAGAAGACAAGGGAACTACTGGATCAAGTAATGGGAGAAATTCGCATAGGTGAAGGAATTTTTGATGAAACTAATCCGTAAATGCGTTACATGGTCAGGAAAACCACGAAAACCCCCCACAGTCAGACTGACGGCAAAGGGAATCTAACCCATGATCCGTCTATCACTGAGGATATATTACGTCAGCACTGTGATCGCAGCGAGCCGGTTGCGGAATTCGTATCGACCAGCCATCACTGGGTTTCAAATCTGATTCACCTCATTAAAAGGAAAATGCTCCATAATCCTGAGCCATCACTGCTCATGTTATCCTCCACATCTATTTTTAATTTTTGTTCTTTTACGTAATGAAAATTTTTTTGTTCCCCTAAGCGACTCACGCATTAACCGGTTAACGCCCAGCGTCATATATTTAGGACAGTTCCTTTTTTCAAAGACATTCATTGTGATGGGAAATTTTTTTCAGTGTTTTCATTTATCTGGGTAAATTAAAAGATTCTCAGATACCACAATGATTTAGTTATTTCTGACTAGATCTAGAATTATAAGGAGCAAGTACTTTTTAATCTATCAAAGACTTTTTGAATGCCCTAACAGTAGAAAAACCAATTAATTTCGATAATATATTATACCACTTTTTCCATAAAATCACTTTTTGTATCATTTCAATATATA